AACTTCTTGGAATACCTCGAATTAGTCGTTCAGCACGTCACGCTTGCATCGACACACAGGACGTCAAAAGAAAATAAAAATTGTGCCCATTTGAAATGAATTATGTCTTGTTACTTAACGTGTAATGTGATGAATATACCACCATGTTCTTATTGCACTAAAGAAACAAAACATTTGAATAAATTGTCAAAGTTTGAATGAATCTCGGTTATTCTCATGAAGCTAAAACACTAAAGAGAAACAACGAAATCATTTTCAGACGCAGGGTTGAAAAATTGTGTGAAAATTGGAAATTAATTCAAATAATATTAATTAATTAATATGTTTCATGTTTTTTTAAAGGGTTCTAATAAAAAAATATACAGAAATAAAAGGCAATGTGTATATCCGTTATTTATGTTGGATAATAATTAATATTATCGGGCTTCTCTCATAAATAATTGCGTATTAAAACTTAATTTAATTAAAACGAAAACATACTAAAATTTACTACAGAATATTATTTAAATTATTATTTAAATTTACAGTATCTTGTCATTTTACAAGGAATCTTTTAATTTAATTTTTCCGAAACCAGGGATTCTGAAATTCTGCCAAACACCCTGTGCGCAATTACTTATGGGACATCCAATGCATGAATATATCCCACGATCAATAAGCGTGAGGCACGATCGGCCCAATCACAGCCGCCGTCGCGGGAATATTTTAGGACGGCCCTTAGTTAGAATCCGAGAATCGTTCGTAAATCAGCTCGGGTATGTCCTGTCGGAGCTATCGTGCCAGGACGACGAGGATCGCGGCACGACCGGCACGCCACGGAGAGGCCCGACCCATTAACTCGGAAATATATAAGATCACGGAAGCATATCACGAAGTTGGAAAGTTATGCGATAGTGGCCGCTCACGAAGGTGCATACGGGGCCCGGGGAGAAGTTAAATTGCACGGTGGATCCTTGACTTTTATGTCGGGGGCTATGAGGATTCTTTTATGTGCGAATATGAGGCTCGGGCGATATCGCTGCTTAGATTCGCGATCACGAGCCCGGAAGACGGATAGACACTCGCCCCAGGAGATTCTTATCGAACCCTTCCACCCTGATTTGTTATGCATCCCAGTTGTGGACATTTTTATAAATTTTCCGGCCGGCGAGTGCCCGGAGCGCATTCGCGTTTATCCATATTTCGCCGCGAAACGCTTCCGCGCCGCTAAAACGCGACTGAATCGGAAATGACTCGCAATTTGCGAGTTGAACATCGGGCTAGTTTGACTCGTTCGTGATTTATGAGACGCCGTACTTCTGCCTGAGCGATGTGATCTCGTATTTATACCGATTCGATACACACTTGCCGATTATTCTTCGCGAGGGCGCGTTTATTTCACGTCACCACGCCCCTTCGCACGGACAGCGTGCTGTTCACTCTCGCGAAGTCGTACGCTTTTTTTAACGATTCAGCTCTCGAACGGAGAATAATTTCAGATTGGAATTTATATTACGCGCGACGTATTATCATAATATTTCATATTTACAATTAATGACCATCCGCTTATTCGTAATTTGCGTTACGGATTGTTTTCTGCGAGCGCGTGTTTGCGTATCGTATATACGCTTATCCGCTTTCTAAAGCTCTCGCCTATTGTGTATTATAATATGTCGCTCGCGAGCATTATCGTCCCTTGCGTACAAATACCGTCTCTTCTTCTGCGCGGAATACCGCGCTATAATTGTTATTATCGAAGCACGATGTAGATCGTGTGAGCCGTCTCTGGTCGGCTTTGCTTTTCGGAATGGCCTCTAATGCACGATACTTTAGGGCACTAATTAATATTTAATGGGACAATATCGCCGCATAATCGGCTCAACTATATTGCACAAAGCATTACCCGTAACCGCACGGCCTAAAACCGCGATTCAATATCGTTAGGCAGCCGTGGTGGACACACACGGGCACACGACATTTCTTCGCCAATGGCCGGCTGATCCTTAATTGCTTTGTACGTCGCGCTATGGTACACACCGCGCGCATCGCAGGAGCTCGTTCCGTCCGGCCGCCCTTAATTTTGCATTACGTAGTTTTGTTTAGCGCGACGAAAGAGGCGATGAAACACACGTCGAGCATTATTCACGAGCAGTTCTAAAGTACCGAAGTACGAAGTGCTTGCTATGTAAACGAGCGACCGAAGGGGTTAAGAGCTTTGTTCCACCGAGCGGAGCAAACCGCGATATCGTGCTGCAACCGGCAGTTGCGGAACGTGAGTAAAGCGCGAGTAATGAGCGTTGCTTAAGCTTTCTTTCACTCCTCTTGATTAGCCCGAGAAAGATGCGATCGGCAAAACCATGCGAGAGACGAAGTCGCTCGATTAATAACTTATTCGCACATTTTTCTTGGGAGATTTCACGACGTTAAGTTTCGACATCCTGAAGAAGTATTATCTCACGCATATCTTTATGAAGTAAAGCACGCGCAGCTTGTTACCCACGATTTGGGATCGCAATATAGACGACATAGACGACACGAATTCAACGAAGTCACGATTTCTACACTGTGAACTACTTCATCAAACACTCTTGCATAAATCAAAGTTTACTCGGCAGAGATGACGAAGCGGGAGCATGATGATTCTAGGATCCGCATGGGGAAATACCTATGTTTCTATTTACGCGCTCGCCACTTTACATCGTGTTTCACGCTTGGTGACTCGGAAGCTTCACGGGAACTTATCTGCCTCGACAGGATCGTTGGTTTTTCGAAGTCACGCTCACACACACGTACACCCACTTATCGCGGCTGGAGTTTACCTTACCAAGTCCCTAGAGGCAGATTGCAGGATATTACTTTGTCGACTTCTCGTGATCCTACATCCCTCTCCCCACTCATTCGCCGTTGCAACCTACCCTGCCACTCCCTGCCTTTGCCTCGCGCGTTTGCCGTGTACTTCGTGAGTTCCAACTCGACCTGAAAGGAACGCAAAGGTTCATTTCGTTCCGGGTGCTGTCAAGCGGTCTGAAGTAGCGGCGCATTTCGCTATCTGACCTGATGTCGGTGTTACACGTCAGGTCAAACGTTACAGATGGGCAATTAAAGTGTTACAAGCTACCCCCTGCGAAGTGCTTAGCGCCGGTGGAATGCGTCGTGTTTACCGTAACGAGGAGGTATTCTTTCTCACTGTCTCTCCCACTTGCCCTCCTCCCCTTGTCTGCATCTTTCCCTCGCGTGATCAAACGGCAAGTTATTAGAAAGCCATTCGGTGGCGATCGATGCCGAAGCGAAACAGCGGGATCCAAAGGATTCCCGGCGGTAAAATCGATCGGGCTCGCGATCGATTCTTGCGCGCGGCCGCGGGAGGCTCGCGAGACACACCCCGTCGTTCGAAGTATTCCTTACTTTTGGATGATAATCAACGCGGAGGTGTTACCGAGTGGCGTACGAGGTGGTATGTGCATCAGTCAAGAACATGACGTGCTACAGCAACAACAAGCGTGCAATTACTCGAAGAAACAAGAAGCGTTTTCGGTCTATCGGGCGTAAAATGTGAGAGGGAGTTTAAAGAGAAGCGGCAGCAACCGCCTCGATTAGAGTGAGCGCCGCGCGTTTGCACGGCAAATAAACGGTGAAATTATACATTGTTAAACGACGGACAGTCTGAAACGGCGCGCGCGCATGGCAGTGGTCTATTTTTGAGGGTGGCTGTGCGGAGGAAGAAAGCTCCTTGAATAAAACATATCTACCGGCAGGCATGTCCCGGAGTCTCTCTCGCACTTTCTCTCTCTCTCTCTCTCTCTCTCTCTCTCTCTCTCTGTTTCTCTGCTTTGTCTTTCTCTCCCTTAGTCCCTACGCCTTCTTCCCCGCCTTCTCTTTTTTCATCCGTCGTTTAGTCGTTAAACATCCGTTCGTTCTTTAGTGTGCGAAATCATCCCGCGGGCAAGCTCTATTAAGTCAACAGTCTTCATATAAAAAATTGTAATGCGAACTATATCAGAATTAAATGCTAATTAGGAGCTGATTTAGTTTCTCTTTAGAACACATAAAAAGTATTAAATTGCTGTGTATATATTTTTTAGCGTGATCATCGTTTTTTTGAGTATCGGGGATGCTAGAAAGTACTGGATTAACGTAAGCGCTTCTATTTTCAAGTAAAATTTTCTGTTAAACTACTCAAACGCCGGCAACATAGCAGGAAATTAATTCCTAATTAATATTTAATTCTGACATGGTTCCCATTTTGCATTTTTTTGTGTTGGGGCTACTTTCTTGACAGACCTGTGCAAGACCATTCAGGCCGCGTGATCGAACAAATTCCGGGCAGCATGTCATAACTATTAATAGGACACCTTCCCGAAATGATATTCGAGCAAACGTTACGTTTTGCAATTACGTTTTTTGTCATCGAGGTAACTTGAATCTAAATTGCTTGCAATCTCTCACGGGACCTCTCACGGGGATTATATAACACGCGCGTTCGTTATCTAGATTTATTTTAACATTTCTCTTCACAGATCACCTTATATAATTTCCTTCTATTTTTTATATAAATGTGTAAAATAGATTTAGTTTAATAATGTGAACAAAAAAATTTTGTGCCGTCACACATACGTGATATTGGTAAGGAATGTGTCAATCTCGATCGTCTCGAACGTCTCAGACGCGGCCGGATCCCGATGATCCGTATCGATCCGTTTCAAGAGTCGTATTGATAGTCGTCACTTGAAATTTACCTCAGGCGAAATGCTCAGATTTGAATTTAGAGTTCGACATGAATCCTTCGGGTGAATAGCGACTGCAAATGCAATGTCGCATATATATCGTGTGATTCAAGTAAAAAGTCAAGACTAACTCCAAGCATCTCACGTGAGACAAATGTCAAGTAATAACTGTCAATACGAACCTTAGAGTCACGAACGGAGACGGCTTCGCGTCGGACAGTCAGCCGATCGTAAAACTGTTCCATCGATAGATCGCCGTTCACTGACAAATCGCTCGATTAATTCTTTTTCCCTCAGGCTCTGACAGCAAGGTGTCGGACGTTGATGGACAGCCCTATACAACGTTGCTGTACAGCAACGGCCCGGGTTACACGCAGCCGCGGAACATTCTGCGGGAGGCTGGGAAAGATTCCATTCAGGTAAGGGAAGCCCCGATTCTCATTTCCGCACGCATGCAGGGTGGCTCGCCGGTGCTTATTGGATCGGAGAATGATCGAGTGGCGAGATCGAGGCCGCGCTCGAAAATCCATCACGTACCATCGCTGTTCCAGCCTCGTGAAATATTCGACCAAACACTTCCGACTGCCTACTGCCAAGCGTTCCCTCGATCATGACGCGATACCGCGCTCGACACGGACACGACGAATTTTTAATTTCCACTGCGCGATATTGCGCGACACTCTCGCGGAATTTTTCAGAAGACGCAATGGCAGATAACGCTTTTTGCGTGAGAGTTCGTGTTGCGCGGGTGTGTCTCTCAAATTTAGAGATCTCCTTCCATTGTCGCATCATCATTTTTATACGTTAAATTATCTTAAATAAAATCAGACTAATGTCATGAATTTACATACTTGATTGTCCGAGAGAAGATACGGCGAATGCATGAGTTGCGCGCAGCGCTCAACGTCGTCATTCCCTCGCAAAGACATTAATTTCTTCCTCCGGAAGCTTTAATGAACGATTCTGTCAAAGAGAAAAATATGTTAAATATGTAACTTCCTGGCGTGTGTTTGTCTAGTCTGGCGAATCGTTCGACGATGCGTGCAGTGGTGCGCGCTTGTCTGTTTTCCAGCGATTCTGTCCGCGCTCGTCGTTTCATCGATTTAATCTCCTTCGTTGACGTATCTTTATGAGAGTTGGTATTTATTCTTTCGATTGCGCCGCACTCCCCTCGCGCTCTCCATGAGCTTTCCCGCGTATCGCGTATTTACACGACGACGATTTGAATTTATAGTAATCTGCAAACAAAAATATTTCGCCGCGTGCTCTAACCGGCATTTGCGATTTCTCATGCGAGTTCTCGCCTAGTCCCATTTCGTTTTGTATTTATAATCTATCGAGCGGATATCTCGACGCGGATATTCACATATTCGGCAAATGTTTACACGATGGATATTACTTGACATCGCGGAATTACGGGGACGCGGAACGCCGGGCCAGATCATTTCGCGCTTTTATTCGCATTCCGGCTTTACATTATCATGCTAAACACGTGCGTGCAGTAATTTAGCTTTTTGATACGGGCGAATTTCAACAGACCTCGTGCGCAAATCCCGCGCGCCGTGTAATACTTTTACGTTTTGTTACCTTACGTAATCGCGATATATCACGCCACTTCAAATATTAATGTAACAGATGGTATAATCACACGTATAAACACACACGAAGCACGCAGCGTGCGCGAAAACGCTTCTTTCGCACGTAACTACAATTTTCCTCCTCTGTAGGAGATCTCTTTCACTTAACATTGCGGGTCAGGCTGCAATATTAATTTCCCTCAGCCGCTATATATATAATTAATTAAGAAAAGCAACGTTATGCGCGCCCATATGTATGTCGGTTTAAAACGAACGGTTCGTAACATTTCATCTTTCCGTGTGTTGTCGACGTAGCTTCAGTTTGTAACTCCAATATTTTCACGATACCTAATATCGAAGATTAAAGAGTCACGCGCGAGAGGTGTATAACGGTCTCCGGTCATTTTCCCGCTAACTCAGCTAAAGTGTTCGTAAGAGTGCTTTCACCTCTTCCGCCCCCCCCCCCCCCCT